AAAAAAAAAAAAGAAATGTCTGCACAGCAAAGGGAATAAGCAACAGAGTAAAGAAACAAACTACAGAGTGGGAAAAAATTTTTCCAGCTACTCTTTGGACATGGGACTAATATCCAGAATATGTAAAAAACTCAAAAAATTAGCTGCCCCCCCAACACAAAAGATCCAATCAAAACATGGGCAACTGAATCGAACAGAAACTTCTCAGAAGAAGTACAAATGACCGACAAATTCAGGAAAAAAAATTCAACATCTCTGGCCATGGTATAAACGCAGATGAAGACAACACTGCATTTCCTCCTCCAGAAAGAACAGCCGTCAACAAGCAATCAAGCAGTAAGAAATGCTGGTGGAGATGGAAACCAGGGCAACCACAGTGGGAATCAACATGGTAACTCCTCTAAAAATAGAAATTTCATTCAAGCGATCTACTCTCCATGTAGGCATCTTCCCCAAAGATGCAGAGGCACCGTATTATAGGGATCCCTGCACGCTGTGTTCAAAGCAGCACAGCTCCTGATAGCTCCATCTCGGTGGTGGCAAACGGACTGCATAAAAAGTGTGGTATTACACAGAGGAGTCCTGCTCTGCCGTAAGGGTAACCCTGAGTCACCTGCAGGGAATGCACACACCTTGTGACATAAGGTTGAATGAGATAAATCAGACACACAAGTTTAAATATTCAATGGTTTCTCTTACGAGAAACCCAAAGTAATTTAAAGATCAAAATAAAAGAGATAATAGAAAATAGAACTTTTGCACTTAGGAAGAGGACTTGTGCTCTGCACTGAGCTACATTCCCAGCAAGGTACCTTTCAAACAACTACACTTTTTTGTTTTGGTTTTGGTTCTGGGTTGTGTTTTGTTTTGTTTTGTTTTCCCAAGACAGAGTCTTACTTTGTCATTCAAGCTGGCCCTGAACTCTCTATGTAGCCCTGGCTGGCGTGGAACTTGCAGCAATCCTCCTGCCTCAGCCTCCCAAGTGCTGGGATTACAGGTGTGTGCTTGCAACTGCACTTTTAAAAGCCAACCAATTAAAGGCAATATGATGAATGACATTTTATATACACTACAGATTAACTTTCTAAAAGTAAGTAATTTGTGATTTTGTTTTATATCAGAATATAGTGAACAGTTGTGGAACTAAAAACCTCAAATCAAGAGTGTCTCATGCAAAAGTTTCTAACACGAGTGTCTGTCAACGCCCAGTCAGTTCACCCTGGTCAGAAGGGAGCAGCACCTGCCCGCATCTGGGCAGGACACAAGCCCACACCGGGCTTCTTTCCCCGTGGGCCCCATCAGCAATGGGCTGTGTGAGCTGCCCCTTCCTGGCAGCCCGTCTGTGCCTAGGGGTGCAGGTGTTGAGTTCCCTGTGTAGAGCAGTCTCCTACCCGAGGAAGGAAGCTTGGACCAAGTTCTCTCTAGTGCCCAGACTCCAGCCGCACTTACGGGAAGAAAACCACCGCATTCCAAGGGACCTCTGCTGCCTATGCAGAAGGATCCCCACTCCCTTCTCGGCAGCATCTGACCACACAGCAGGCAGAGCACACAGTCACCCGCCCACCGGCCCTCAGCACCCGGCTCGCTCGCCTTCCTAAGGACTTCTGCACCCAGGCCACACCATAAGGATTTCATTTCTCACTGCTACCAAGAAAAAGCTTGTTTCTGTTTCTTCTGGGAGGGCTTAGCCTGGCGTGGTGGCGGAGATCTGTAATCCCAGCACTCAGAGGCTGAGGCAGGAGGACTGCCGTGATTTTTAGTCCAGCCTGAACTACACAGTGAGATGCTGTCTCAAAAATAAATAACTACACAAACACAATCCAGCGGATTCTCAGTCTGTTGGCTAAAGGGCGCTGTCTTCCTTAGGAGGTCGGTCACAGGGAAGACTTCCTGTCTTTAGCCTCTGAGGCTCTGAATACATAACACCGCCTACTCACCAGAGGGACCCAGTAGGTGTAGAGGGCGCCAAGCCGCATCTCGGGGACAAACTGGGAGCAGGCGAGAACTAAGAAATAGAGGTTGAAGAAGTACTTGAACTGGTTGAACAGCACCTGCAACGAAGACAGCAGAGAGGAGATGTCAGGGCTCGACTGACCCCAAGGCTTAGAAGGATCAGTGGAAGTGACATTAAAAACACTTCTAGAGGGGCCGGGGATTTAGCTCAGTGGTTCCGCCGCCTGCCTCGCAAGCTCAAGGTCCCGAGTCTGATACATGGTGCCAAAAAAAAAACACTTTTAGAGAAAGATGTGGTGGCCATGCCTGTAATCCAAGAGGCAGGAGGATCACTGTGAGCTTGAGGTCAGCCTGGGCTACACAGTGAGTGCAAGGCCAACCAGAACTACACAGCAAAACCCTGTCTCACAAATAAATAACAATAAAAACAAAGATTTCAAAATCACTTCTATATAATATAATTTATACACTGGATGTGGTGGTGCACACCTATAATCCCACCACTCAGGAGGCTGAGACAGGAGGTTCGCTGCAAGTTCAAGGCCAGTCTGGGCCACCTGGTGAGTTCAAGGCCTATCTCAAAAAACCAAAATGAAAGAGAGACAAGGAGAGAGAGATAGCAATTTGTACACTATTTTTCACACAAAGCTTAAATAGTTCCTTCCTTCCCTCCCTCCACCATCCCCCGTACTAGAGGTTGAACCCAGGACCTTTACACTGAGCTACATCTGCAGCCCTTTCTAAATTTTATATTTTAAGACAGGGTCTTACTAGGTTGTTAAATTATCCAGGCTGTGCTCAAGGATCCTCCTGCCTCAGCCTTCTCAGAGTGTCAGGATTACAGGTGTGCACCACCATACCCGGCTCATTCCATGTGTTATTTAGGAAAACACATGTGCAGTAAACCTATCATTAACAAAACTGAGTGATATATACATGGAAACTATAAACACCAAATTGAGAATAATTGTTACCGGGTGGGGGAAGGTGAGTAACCAAGTGAAAAGGGGCAGGCAGGGAATGTCAATTGTATTCAGTTTTTCTCTCTTCTTTTTTTCTTTGATACCAGGGAATTGAACTCAGGACCTTACACTTGCCAGGCAGGCACGGCACTGCTGAGCTACGTGCCCAGCTCAGTTATTTCTAAAGCAATACATTTTTTAAGTCCAGGGAGGCAATGTGAAAGCTTGTTTAGGAAGCAGTTTTAGTGGGAAGCAATGTCGTGTTGAGTCAAAAAAAGCAAAACGAACATTCATCTGCACAGCATGATCTTGCCATCACAAAGCACACCCTGGAGCAGAGATGGGAACCATACTGAGAGCTTCCTATGACACAGCGCACTGAGGCGCGCAGGCCACAGGTCCGCCACCAACACCCTAGACCCTGCCGAGGAGGCACTGGGTCCTGGCAGACTGCACAGGAACCCAGGCGGATGGCACAGAACCAGCCCTGGCCAATGACTGGCGAGAGGAAGGATCTTGGTTGTTGGAGACCAGGAGGATTCCAAGCCCTTCTGCCTCCAGCCCCTCTGTGCGGACTAAGTGGCCACACGCTGCCTGGGTGCCCCCGCCGGCCGGATGCTACTCCCGCCCCTACTCAGTAACTACGGCAAGGCCAGGAGACAGAGGAGGGGCCCGGTGTATACCAGACATCTGCGAGAGAGAGAAAACTTTTCTTCACTTCAGAGACAGGGATTTAGGCCAGCTGTGGTTTGTGGTAACTAACCATGAATAACGTCAAAATTTTCCTCCAAAAACATTCACATCAACTTTGCACTACACTAAAGTACACTAAAAATCTGTGCCTCGGGGACAACACTGCCATGTTCTTCTTATACTACAGCCAACTACGGCTGCTCTTCTGCAGTTAAACTGGTGCTTGCTGGGAGGCCATGCTGTACAAAAAGAGACAGTGTGTGTGTGTGTGTGTGTGTGTGTGTGTGTGTGTGGTCTCTCCAAGGAAAGGCCTGCCAAGTACACATCTAGGTCTTACACAAGCTACTGTAGGCGTGTTATGACTCCAGAAACATTTACTAAACTGTAAGTAGAAATTCTCTTTTTTGGGCTGGCTGTGGTGGGACACGCCTACAATCCCAGCACTCAGGAGGTGGAGGCAGGAGAATTGCTTGGAGTTGGAGGTCAGCCTGGGCTACACAGTGAGTTCAAGGCCAGCCTGACCTACACAGTGAGACTGTGTCTCAAAAAAAAACAAACAAACAACAACAACAACAAAAATTTCCTCTGCAGTGGGAGGATTAAGTTTTATCTTTTTCCCCCATTGGACTTTTATTTCCCAATTCTCCTGTATTGGGCACAGGTTACTGATGACGAGGGGAGAAGACGTAAGCACTGTGCTGTACTTTAAAGCTTCGGAGAAAATGCTTGATCCCAAAAATACCTTTCTCAAACTTAGGCTCAGTACACCGAATAAACGTGAGGTTATTCTCAGCAGGCAGTTGGGTATCCCAGCCTCACAGACAGCCGCCAGCCTTTCCCAGACTCTCAGGCCAGGGAGACAAATGCTCTGGGGCTAAGGTGGCCCGGAGAAGACACAGGAGTGTTCAGTCTTTGCTATAGGGACTCAGTCTCATAAGATTGGCCCTGGCCCAGAAATCTGTGGTGGGGAGCTGGGTGCTGTAATTCCAAAAACTCAGAAGGCTGAGGCAGGAGGATGGCAAGTTTGAGGCCAGCCTGGCCAATTCAGTGAGGCTGTGTCTCAACATAAAATAAAACGGGCTGGGGATGTAGCTCGATGGGAAAGCACTTGCCTAATATGTGAGGACCTGGGTTCCATCTCCAGTACCGAAGAAAAAGGCGTAGGGGTGGGGGGTGGGGGGGAGATTATGGGAAAAGACTGTGGGCACTGCACTTACCCCGGGAAGAAAGGTGAAGAAATTGTACTTCTGGTTGTTGATGACATTTCGAGGGTACCTCTGGTCCCTCTTCTCCGGGTGTCCCAACCACACCGTGCGAGGTCTGGGCTCCCCTCCACCACAGCATCGAAGCCACTCACAGCACCTGCGGGAAAGACAGGCCACACCGTCGAGGCCACGCCCACCACCCGGCCACGCCCACCCTACGGGCCACGCCCACCCTCCCTGCAGGCCCTGCCTGCCTCACCCAGTCTCCGCACAACGCTTTTTCTAGAGCCGCCTGTGTCAGGCCAACTGCTGTCCTTCAGTAAGGTGAAAAAACAGCAGAAGCTAAGAAGCAGTGGTGCAAATAAAAGATGCTTTGTTCCCAAACCCAAACTATTACTCCAAAGCAGAATTCCTTTAAAATAAGTAGATACACCTCAATAAGCACCATTATCAATTACTAAGTTTTGCAAAGGAGACAGGGAAGTGTAGAATCAAGCACGGGAGTTAGCTAAGGCTTGAGGAGCAGCCTCTGAAGACGGCAAGTCCACGCTGCGAGACCACTGCCACCCAGGCGGGAGCAAGAGGGCTCCTCTCCCCCGGCTCTCCTTTCTCACAGCGCACAGGCAGCGACACGGCGTCTCAGAGCCAGTCAGACCTGCAGCCGGGCCAGCATGGGCTGCAGGGACCCTGAGCCAGGCCCCACCGGGGCAGCAGCACCGACCCACGGCACCCGCTCCTCCAGGTCACCCTCACCCAAGGCAAGGGAGCCCTGGAGATGCAGAGGGACCTTGGGGGCAGCCTCACCTGCGCCAGGTGCCTGGGGAACCACGAGCTTGGGGGGGGGGTAATGGCAATGCCCCACCTGCTCCCCAGTGGGAGGGAGAACCTCCAGCCTGCCAGGCCCCAGATGCCACAAACTGAGGCGAAAGCCACCAGACACAAGCACAACTCACATAATCGCATCCACTGCTGTGCACCTCCTCTCCCTCTCCCCTGCGGCCAGTGGAGCGGAGCCCCGGGGCCCTCAGAGGCACAGAGCCGAGCCAGTCAGCAAGCTGCCTGCTCTTACGCTCAAAATTTCCATGATGAAACATGATGCTCTTCCTTAAAAATAGCATCCCCGTTCCAGTAAACGGCCCCGGGGAGTGCGCCCGGATGAAGACAGGAGCGCTCTGCTCCTCCTCACGCCCTCCTTTGCTAAGTTGTGCAGAGGCAGAAGAAACACACAGGCGACTCAGGAGTCCCCCCTGTCCCGCTCGTGTTCCTGGGTGCCAGCCTCCCACGCGGGGCTTCCGGGGCACTGCTGAAGCCACGTTACCAGAAGAGAGAGGTCAGGGGAGGGGGGTGATGACTACGCCTGACCCTCCAGCTCCTCCTGTAACGACCTGACCCTCAATGATCTGATCGCTCCATCGGTTGTGCGCCTCTAAAGGCATCCACAGAGCATGGGCCCTGCTCGTACACGATTCTGTTTCGGGTTACACTGCTCATTATTACCCCTCGGTGCCCTCCCGTGCCGAGGGACCAGGGTACCCGCCGCAGCCAGCACTGGGTTTGCAAAGGACTGGACATGAGCTTCTGTGCCCTGTGCTTCGGAGGGACACTGGTGAAACAAACAGGGGTCGCCCACAAAACGAAATCCCTGCCAGGCTTTGGAGACTGGGGTGGAGTCGTGAAACAGGGTCTGGCTATGTAGCCAGGCTGGCCTCAAACTGGAGGCCATCCTCCTGCCTCAGCCTCCCGAATGCTGGTGGGGTCATTGGCGTGAGCCACCATACCCAGCGAGACCTTGTTTTAAAAGAGGCTGGGGATGTCATTCTGGGTTTAATCCTGAGTACCACCAAAGAAACACAATGAAACAAGTTACCACAGCTTTTCTCCCCCATTCAGCAAACATCCCTGAGCACTCTGTGCCAGCTCCTCTAGGTAGGGCTCTGGCAGTAGACGTTGACAGACAAGCTCGCCCTCCCAGGATCTAGAGTCTACGAGAGAGACACTGTGCCCTACTTATTTTTTATTTTGAGATACGTATCACCAAGTTATTAAGTTGCCCAGGCTGGGCTGAAGCTTGTCAGCCTCCTGCCTCAGCCTCCCAGAGTACTGGGATTGTAGGTGAGCACCACCACGCGTGGCAGGTAATAAAATGTTTTAACACTGATTACAGTCATGGCTGCACAACCCTGTGAACATATAAAAACCGCTGAACTGTGAGTGTAGAGTAGGTGAATTATTATAATAAAACAACTATATTATTAGCAAAAAAGTAGAAACAGGTCAGATGTGACGGCACATGCCTACAATCTCAGCTGAGGCAGGAGGATCAAAAATTTGCTTGTTTTTGGTACCAGGGATCGAACTTGGGACCTTGGACTTGTGAAGCAGGCAGCAGAATCACTGAGCTAAATGCCCGGCCCAGGATCCCAAGTTTGAAGCCAGCCTGGGGAACTTAGTGAGACTCTGTCTCAAAAAAGAAAAAGAGCTGGGGACGAAGCTCACTAGTAGAGGCCCTGGATTCAATTTCCATTATCACATAACCAACAAATGAACGAATAAATGCTGGAAACAGGGAGATCATCAGGAGGCTGTTGCCTTGCCTCTAAGCAAGTAAAGAGGAAATCCAGACTGGGGTGGCGGCTCGGGGAGGGGTACAGATTCTCAGTACGCTGCAGATGGAGAGACGCACACTCTCTAGAAAACTGAAAATGAGAAATCCACTCTCCCACTCAAAGTGCACGACAATCCCGCGCATCCCCATTTCCGTGGTGGATAAACTGAGCCCTGGAGAAGTCAGTGACCTGCCAGGATCCACCATAATGCTGGTGTGTAGAGCCGACGGGACCTCAGAGCTCCCTGCCCTGCGCTGCCATTCACAGCCTCGGCTGCACAGTTACCCGTCTTCTGGTCCCTTCTCTTCTGTGAACTGGCAGACACTTTCGGTGCCACCCAGAGAAACCGAGGGCCCAGGCGGAGCGGCCCCCCACCCACCATCCCGGAAGGAGGCAGCCTGACTCCTTCACTCCCTTTACCTTCTCCCTCTGGGGGCACCCAAGGGAGGGAAAGGCTCTCGGGGCTTTCCTGTCCATGGCACAGTGGAAGTGCAGGAAACCGCTGCCCCAGCCTTCAGCCTGGGCACCTCACAGGGGTCCTCTCTGCAGGGAACCTGGCCCCCAGCTGCAGGCAGGCATCTGTGTCCCTCCTGTCTTGGAGATGCGCCTAATGGGGACTCGGTGTCCTACGAGCCCCAGACCGCCTGTGCACCGGCTGCCTCCTGCACCGTGGGTGGACCAGCTCCAGGCTGCAATCCGCAAACATTCCTGTCACCCAGGGACCCTTCCGAGCGCATCCCTCCAGGGTCCACCTGAGCCCTGGGCTGCCCCAGCCTTCCTCTGTCCTGTTCTCCTTTCTCTTAGCTGACCATCGGCTTCCTCCCACCTCCTTCCCACCAGGCTAGGCCGGGAGCAGCCCCACCCTGCAGCCCTGGGCCTGAAGAACACAGGATCCAGCCAAGCACAGCCCTCAGCCCTCTGGACAGAAGGGCCAAGGGGATCACTGGCCAGGAATCTGCTACAAACACCAGGAAATAAGTGCTCTTTAACCTGGGCTGGCTAGCAGCCACGGCACTCCCACAGGACAGACGCAGCCTAAAAACGGAGTTGACCAGCAGGAAGAACTCCCCCAGCCCAGCAGCACCTGCGGCCCCTAGAAGCCTCAGCCGTGAGGGTGAATACGGTGCTTTTGTTAGATTTGACTCTGCTCATGCCAATCTCAGGTGGACGTCTGATCACTACTACGGGGAAACCTTTCTAAGATTCCCGCCCCCCACATGGCCGACCACCCTCAAAGACAGGTTGCTGTAAGCAGCTCTGGGTCCAGCCAAGGTGCCAACAGCACCTAGGTGGGGAACCCCTGCTCCAGATTTAATTGACAACCTCTCTGGGTTACTCGAACTCACTCCACCTGCATACAGTGATTTGGAAAAACATTCTCGTGCCACTCCCGTAAATGCAAAGCACCTTCACTTGCCTAGGCTGAAGGGAAACGCAGAAACGGACACAGTGGGATGCAAACCACCGTCCTGGGTTCTGTGGCTGCCATGGCCCCTGGGACGGACTCCATCCTCCAGCACCCAGGGCGAAAAATGGGGCTGACAGCACTGAACTACTGAAGGGAAACAGAAAAAGGAAAGAAGTGTCTTGCTAAATGTCTCAGTGTGATTTAATTCCTGCCCGGGAACTAAAACTTGAAACTCTGCCACCTAAAGCCACTGCCTGCCCAGAGTTTTGGGGCATTCTTGTCCTGCAGAGAAATCTTGAGCGTGGTGGCAAACTTACTGCAAGCGACCACAACTTCCCACATCTGTCCAAACAGAAGAGGTGGCAGCCAGGCTCCCTACGCGCAACTGGAGCAAATGGATTTATACCTTCGGTTCTCCCCTCAGCGGCTTCTGCCTGATGGGCGGAGTCCACGCCCAGGAGGGAGGACCCAGAAGAGCAACCGCACCACAAGCACCACAAGGCGGTGCCGTGGTAGCTGCCACCTGTGTGTCAAGGACGCTGCTGTTGTCGCCTAAGAGCAGCCTGAACTGTGTGCCAGCTGCTGTGACAAAGAAACTGTGTCCCGCAGTCCAGACAGGTGGGGCAGATGGGCTACAAGACAGAATCCTTAAATACACACGCGCGCACACACACACACACACACACACACATACACATACACAGAACAGGAGAGAATCCTTAAGAATAAGAAACTGACAAAATTTCACAACAGATCAGGTAGACCAGGGTAAACTGTGCGCGTGTGTGTGTTAAACTGTGCGTGTGTGTGTGTCCATGTTGTCTTGTTTTTTTAATTTTGCCACACTGGGGATTAAACCCAGGGCCTCTGCACTGAATTCCACCCCCTAGACACCACCACCTTTTATATTTTATTAATTTATTTATTAGTGAGACAGGGTCTCACTAAGTCTCTAACTGCCCAGGCTGGGCTCAAACTTACAAGTCCCCTGCCTCAGCTTTCCAGAGTGCTAGGATTACAAGTAGGGCAAGGTTTTAAATCAAACAGACCTAGGCGCAAATCCCAGCCCAGATCCACACTGGCTGTGCAGCTTTGGGCTGCTCATTTCTTTTATGTTGTTGTTTGTCTTGATTTGGTTTTTGG